TCAAGTTGACACTTATAAGCTGTAATAGTTAGGGTCCTGTATCAACTTGACTATCTGAGGATTTCCATGGTTTAGCAGTTAAATGTGCTTATTCCCATGGTGATAAAACCTAATATTGGCATCGTTCACATTATGATGAGTGGCTATGAGCAACCAACCAATTAAAGGGATGCTTCCTGAGTGGTATGACCTGCTCCCAATATAATGGACATACAGGAAAGACTTGTTCTCTCTCTTCCACTGGGGACCTTGGACTCTACAATTGTAAGCCATTTTACTGACAGTAAACTCTGAGAAGTTTTCTGAGAAGTGGCTGGTAAGCTTGAACTGCTGACATTGTGGTTCAAACTGACTTTGCAATCCAGTTCATTAACGCACAGTGCCACACCAGGACTCCATATATGTGTGTGTGTGTATATATATACACATTAACTGGTTTTGCTTCTCTAGAAAATTCAGCCTGAGATAGACAGTGAGGAAGAAATTAAATAATTCTACCAATATTTTCAGTCTGAAATTGATAAAACATGCAGTCTATAGGCATTGGAATTACTGGTGATTGGCATAAGAAGTTTGAAATAAAGAGGAAGGATCAATAGTTGGACGATATAGCATTGTGATATTAATGATACTGGAGATCACATGATAAAATTTTACAAAAGCAATGACTTATTCATTGCAAATACCATTTTCAACAATATAAGTGATGATTATACACATGGATCTCTGAGAATGAATGCACAGAAATCAAACTGACTACATCAGTAGGAAGAGAGGCTAGAGAAGCTCAATAACATCAGTCAAAACTAGGCCAGAAATAAATCATTAATTGCAAGTTAATCATATGCAAGTTCAGATCAAAGTTGTGCAAAATTAAAACAAGCTCACAAAAGCCAAAATACACCTTGAGTATAGTTGTTGTGTTGTTAAGTGTCGTAAAGTTGATTCTAACTCATAGCGACCCTATACATGGTTTTCTGAGAAGCAGCTAGTGGGGTTTGAACTGCCAATCTGTGGTCACAGTCTAGTGCTTATCCTACAGCACCATACTACTAGGAGTCCAAGATCTTGAGTACCCACCTGAATTTAGAAGCCCTCTCAAGAACAGATTTGACCAACTGAATATTAATGACTGAAGACAAAACTAGTTGTAGGATGACATTAAGAATAACATACATCACATCAAGTATTAATCGTATCCCCTTTGTATATAGGGTAGATAGGGATGGGCAACTTAGTCATTGGCAACCTAAATTGAGGGGATGATAAAGGCATGAAGTGACTAGCTTACAAGTTTTCAAGAGGAGTTTAGTTTCAGAGTGTGTGGGGGAAGGTAGAGTCCCCACTGAATAGTTTTCATCTTATCTAGACAGGTCTGGTGAAAAGAGATGGGGATAAGATCTTATGATTCAATAATGAGTAATTGTTATCACGACTAATTGTGACTGTCATTACTGTAAAGGTAGAAGTTTTGTACCAAAAATGGGGGAGTCCAGGAACAGAGGACCCTAAGGCCATCAAGGGAAAAGAGCATGAGTGGAGTGTGGGACCCTATCCAGAGAAACAGCAACACCAGAGATGGAGGCAGAGATAAGGACTCTAGACTCATGGAAAGAGAAAGACTGAGTGATGGAAGCCAGGAGGCAGTATTGCAGAATGTACCCTTTGGTTCTTTAAATGATTATATATTCCTGAGTGTTTTTGTGTACATCCCACACCCCTCCAAAAAAAAAAAAAACAGAGAGAATAGAAGCAAATACTATTTTGTGAATGGTGATGCACAAAGGAAATTGTAATCATTGCTATGAAACCATGGTGTAAAACTGATGTTCTCCCATGTAAACTATCACTTAATTCACAATGAAAGCTTAAAAAAAAAGAAAAAAGAATATCATGAATGAATGCAGAAAACAAAAGTTCATTAAAAAGATAAGAAAGAAAGAAATGACCAAAATGTATGTCAGAAGAGACTCTGAAACTTGCTCTTCAATGTACATAACTACAGTGAAAGGAAGAATTGATGAAATAAGAAAGATGTAAAGAAAATTTCAAATGACTTCTCAAGAAGACAAAAAAAAGTTTCAGAATGAAATTTGCAAAGACCTGGAGTTAGAAAAGCAAAAGGGAAAAACATTCTTAGCACTTATCAAGCTGAAACAATTGAATAACAAAATTCAAGCCTCAACTTGAAATATTGAAGGATTCTGTGAGCAAAATACTTAACAATATAGGAACTATCATTCAAATTTCTACACCAACCACTAAAGCCAGTGAGGATAAAATAGAAGAATTCTACCAACTTCTTCAATCTGAAATTCATCAAGATGTGCTGATCATTACCGGTGATTAGAATGCAAAGGTTGGGAGCAAAGAGGATCAGTAGCTGGAAAATATGGCCTTGGTGATAGAAATGATGCTGGAGATTTCATGATAGAATTCTGCAAAACCAATGATTTGCTCATTCCAAATACCTTCTTTAGAGAGCACTATATACATGGACCTCACCAGATGGAATACATAGAAATCAAATTGACTACATCTGTGGAAAGAGATGATTGAAAAGCTCCATATCATCAGTCAAAACAAGGGCCAGGGGCAGATTGTGAAATAGACCATCAATTGCTCATATGCAAATTCAAACTGAAGCTGAAGAAAATGAAAACAAGTCCACAAGAGCCAAAATATGACCTTGAATATATCCCACCTGAATTTAGAGATCATCTGAAGAACAGATTTGATAAATTAAACATTAAAGACCAAAGACCAGAAGAGTTGTGGGAGGACTCCTTCAGGTCTGGAACTAAATTCACCTCTGTGGCTCAAATTCCAGCCAAGCAACAGATAGTTATGTCTGGCAGACAACAACACCAGTGAGTTATGAATATCATGGAATGGTCACACATTCAAAATCAATAGGGCAGCATTTTCCTAAGGAGAAAATTCAGAAGTATTGGAAAAGAAGGTTGTATGTAAACAACAGTCATAGGGAGAAAGTGGGACAGCCGATGTTACATGAAGGGGACTGCCATCATTGAAATGAAGCAAAGTATATCATTTGATTAATGTAAAACCGATGATCTACTCTGTAAACCTTCATAATTCACAAAAAAAGTTTAGAAAAAGTTTTTTTTTAAAGAATTTACAGTATTGATGGAAGAAGTCCAAGCTGCACAGAAGACATTAGCAAAAGAACAAGGCTCCAGGAATTGATGGAACCCCAATTGAAATGTTTCAACAAACTGATACAGCACTTGAAGCACTCTCAAGACTATGCCAAGAAATTAGGAAGACACCTAACTGGCCAACCAACTGGAAAAGATTCATATTTGTGCTCATCAAAATAAAGGTAACCCACTAGAATGATGAAATTATCTAATAAATGGTTGCAATGATGCATCATCAGAGAGAGAGTTATCAGAAATTTAAATGCAATTCAGTAGAGGATGTGGAATTAGGGAAATCATTGTTGATGTCAGATGGATCTTAACAGAAAGATGTTTACTTGTGTTTTATAAACTATGCAAAGGCATTCAACTGTTTAGATAATAAATAGCTGTGAATAACTTTGCAAAGAGTAAGAATTCCAGAATACCTCAAGCAGAACCTATACATGGACCATGTGGAAGTTGTTAGAACAGAGCTAGGAGATACTGTGTTGTTTAAAATCAGGAAAGGTGCACATCTAGATAGTATGCTTTCATCACAATTATTCAATCTGTATACTAAGCAAATAATATAAGAAGCTAGCCTATATGAAGAACATTGCACCAGGACTAGAGGAAGATTCAGTAGCAACCTGCAATATGTCAGTGATACAACCTGAAAAGTTTGAGGACTTAAAGCACTGAAAGTGAAGAGGGCTTAAAGCACTTACTGATGAAGACCAAAGATAGCCATCAAGATCAAAAAGGCAGCATTTGTCCAAAAGCAAAACTCAGAAGGTAGAAAAGGAGCAGGAAAGAAGGACAAATGAAAACAAAAAATCTAGGGGAGAAGTAGGAAGAGTGCTGTTAAACATTGAGAAGTTTGCAACCTTTGTCAGAAAAGAAAATAAGTATAAATGTTGAATGCAAACCTTCACCCAATCCCCAAATAAAAAAAGAAAAGCCCTGTATGCTTTCCTTTGCTACAGTGGTCCTTTCCCACCACATATTTTCAAGGGTAGTAGTCATACGCATGTGAAAGTTGGACAATGAATAAAGAAGACTGCAGAAAATTTGATACATCTGAGTTGTGGTGTTGGAGGAGAATACTAAAAGTACCATAGACTATCAGATGGACAAACAAATCTGTGTTGGAAGAAATACACCCAGAATATTCCTTAGAAGCCAGGATGGCCAGACAACACCCCTCATACTTCAGACATGTTATCAGAAGGGACCAGTGCCTAGAGAAGGACATCATACTTAGTAAAGTGGAGGGTTAATGGAAAAGAAGATCCCAATGAGATGGACTGACACAGTGGCAGCAGCAATGGACTAAAGCATAGCAATAATAGTGAGATTGGCACAGGACCAGGCAGTGTTTCGTTCTGTTGTACATGAAGTGGCTATGATCCAATACTAACTCAAGGGCACCTAACAACTAACAGTCATATGAAAACATATAATTCTTAAAATTCATAGTTTTCCATCATGTTGATGACATCACCATCAATTTTTTTCGTACTTGTCTTAAGACAAAAAAAAAAAAAAAAATTTTTTGGTCTCTATCTGTTAATCATGAATTTATAAGTGAAAATTTAAAACAAGAATATTTTAAAGTTTTTATCTGAAAGGTTTGTGTCTTTCTATAATTTATTTTCCACAAGCAGCTCCAATTTTGTCATGATATTCTGTAATGATGGCAGGCAAAATCAGGGTTGGAAGAATCATAAGTTGACTTCAGTGATGAGTTATCCAAAAGTAAAGTGCCACAAGGAACTTCAAGGATAGCATCATTGGCTTTCAAAAGGATAAAAATAATATTATGAAATAATAGACAGTTGTGTAGCTACTTACCTTAAATCTCTGAACTCGCTCCTTCTTAGCTAAGGTCTCCAGTTTATTTTTTATTTCAAGTTGATGGTAACGCTAAGCATACAAAAAAGAACAGAAAAAAGAATCATATCAATTACAGCAAAGAATTTATAGAGGAAAATAATCCCAACAGTAAGTTTTAGTCACTAAATATACCCCAGCTATTATTAAGATGAAGAATAATTACCTGCATAAATATGCAGGTGGAAATATAAATCATTAACAACTCTTTGGAAAAATAATTCCTAATGTGGTGCATAGGATAAGCACTCTTCCACAAGGTTGGTGTGAACCATAAGATTGACAGGCTGAACTTATCAGGTGCACCTTGGAAATGCTATACAGGGTAGCTATGAGTTGGAAACAACTTGATGGCACTTAATAACAACAACGATATAAAGTAGGCAGTTAAAAGTGTCCATACCTTTTAACCAGAAAAATTTCACTTCTAATCTAGGGATAATACTCTGAGTAATAAAATATATGTTATATGTAGATGAAACCTTTATTTTATTTTTAAATCATAGCAAAATTTCAGGCACAATATGAACACTGGAGAGAATGGTGAAACATTTGGTACATTCATACGATGGAACAGAACATAATAATTAAAATAAATTCCATAAGGATTTGGTTTAAAAAAAAACTGGAAAATGCATGTAAAGTAGACAAAAAGCAAGATACAGAATTGTGCAGAAATGCAATTCAATTGGTCAAGTCCATATGTGTGCTTGTCCATTAGTTTTATGATTTAAAAATAAACCTCACATAAAAATAATCTACTTACAATTCAATTTTAAATCACTCAGTCATGTTTGAGGGTGTTTTGTTTATCAATCACTTATTAGCTCCTTGAAAACATATTTTTCTTTGTTCTTGATCCCCTTCTGCTATCTTTGAGATTCTGTATCCTTAATCATTCTCTATCTAAATATCATCTAACTCCTTCTTGACACTTGTTTTCTTCTCTCTCACCTTCTTTGTTCTCTTACTTATCACTAAACTTTACTAAATCGATTATCAACTCTTTTTGCATCTTCCACTTTTTTCGAATTCACTTCGGTCAGCCACGCTTACCATTCTTCACATCATTACCTTTAAAATCACTTTCACCAAGACCAGCAAAGTTTTTGTCTCTGAGTAAAACCTAGTTTTTTCTTTCTAACATTCATCTTTTTCAGCCATTCAGTGGTGACCTCCTGGCTTCCACGATGCCATGCCATCAGATGTTCTTCCACTTGAAGGTTTATTTCCTGTCCATGTTATTGCTCCTGATCTCTCATGATGTGCAAAGTACTGACAAGAGTTGATGTGGTGGAATCTCCACTGAGTGATGTCCAATCTGTCTGGGAGGGGCTGATGAAAGGAGATGTAGATGGCATTCATGTGGCACAATTGGGAATAATTGCTATCAGAACTGACTGTGAAGGTTGGAAATGTAAAGGTGGGCATTTTGTAGCAAAAGGAGGGGAGTGATTGACTTTGTAGTTCAGAAGCGGAGGTCCCTGGGACCATCAGGAGACAAGAGTAAAGTGCGGGACCCTACCCAGAGAAACAGTGATGCCAGAGATGGAGGCAGAGACGATGACATGGAGAGATGGAGTGGCTGGGGACTCTGCACCCAGAAAGGGAGAGGGCCTGTGTGCTGATGACCACAGGGCAGGTTTTCAGGGTATACCCTTTGGTTGGTTGATGATGCATGGAGGGGATTGTAACCAGGGCACTAAAACAATATACGATAGGATGAATGTAAAGCTAATGTTCTCCCATGTAAACTATCACATAATTCAGAATAAAACATTAAAAAAACAAAACACTATGCAGGGTAGCTATGAGTCAGAACCAACTCCCAAGCACATACATAACCACCACACACAAAAAAAGAATTGATGTGGGCTCCTTCTTCATTCTTAGCCCTCCTCATACCATCAGATTAAATCTTTTCATTTCTTTCGTTTCAAGATCTCTAGAGACAACTGCATCTCTCCAGCGTTGTATATACTACTGTAACTTCATATCCTTTGGCAAAACTTCCTAATAGACCTCCCACCTTCAATATTTGCTAGTTTCATTAAACCATCTTTCACATATTTAGCAACATCACCTTTCTAAAAAACTCTGTTCATTTACTTCACGCTCCCACTGGAAAACATTTTATCAGTTACACTGAAAGCTTAGTTGGGAAGAAAAGACTCTCCAGAAACAGCCCCAACCTAGTGTCACTTCCTGCCACACCTTCTATTGGGCTGGGAAGTTTGGACTCAGCGAGCATTTCTTTCTATTAGGTCCTTTCACACCTCTGTAGCTTCATACCTGCTGTCTTTGCTTTATGGAATTTCTTTCCCATATTTTTATACAGTGAGCTCCTATTCAGTCTTCAAAATCCAGTTCAAATAGTGAGGCATCTGTTCAGCATCTCCTGATCCCACAAAAGTTATCAGTATTCCCTTCTTTTCTAGGCTCAGTCTGTATGTTCCTATTCTAACACTTAATTAATTTCTACTGTACCTTTTACCACTATTATATCTCTGTGCAGCTACAGCACATAGCCTCATATTGGCACAAGGTAAGCCTGCAATTAATGTTTGTTGCATGAATGAATACATGAATACTAATAGAGCAAACTAGTAAAAAGCATTAGCATAAACTAAATGTGAGACAAATGTGACTGTTTAGATAGGAATTTTCAAAGTTTGTTTGGTTATGCATTCTATTAATATAACACATATTAGACACCATATGTATGTATTCCCTAGTGATTTAAGCACCATTTAAGTACTTGACTGATAATGGTTCAAACACACCAACAGCTCCCAGGGAGAAAAATAACTGATGATCGGCTCCTGTAAAGATAGTTGTTGTTGTTATGTGCTGTGGAGTCTGTTCTGACTCATAGCAACCCTGTACAGGGTTTCCGAGGCTGTAAATCTTTATGGGAGCAGAAAGCCTCATCTTTCTCCCACGGAACACCTGGTAGTTTTGAACTGCTGACCGAGAGATTAGCAACCTGATTCATAACCACTATGCTACCAGAGCTCCTTCCTGTAAAGATGATATCATATGAAACTCCATAGGGAGTTCTATTCTGTCTAATAGGGTAGCTATGAGTTGGAATCAACTGAATGGTACACAACAACAAATTACTATCTAGCTTGTACATTCAATTTAAATAAATATAAATGTAATGAAACAATAAAATTTATACATTGTTGTGCTGTTGTTAATTACAATTGAGTCAGTTCTGACTTGTAATGGCCCTATATAGGTCTTTCAAGGCTGTAAATCTTTAGAAAAGCAGACAGTCTCATCTTTCTTCAGGGGAGCAGCTGGTGGACTTGAACCACTGACCTTATGTTTAGCAGTCCAGTTTTTTTACCCTATACCGCAGACCACAATTTAGAGACACCGCAAATTGTAATTACATATAACATATATGCTGTTGTTATTAAGTGCCATTGAGTCAGTTCCAACTTATAGAGACCCTATGCACAAAAGAATGAAACACTGCCATTTTCACAATTGTCGTTACACATTTTCACAATTGTCGTTACACATGAAACAAATGCTGCTGCCACTGTGCCAATCCATTTTATTGGCGGTCTTCCCCTTTTCACTGACCTTCTATTTTACCAAGCATGCTGTCCTGCACCAGGGACTGATCATTCCTGATAACATAGCTAAAGTATGAGACACACATTCTCACCATCCTGGCTTCTACAGAGCATTCTGTGTGTACTTCTTTCATGACAGATTTGTTTGTTCTTCTGGCAGTTCATGATATTTCAATATTCTTCTCCAACACCATAATTCAAATGCATCAGTTCTTCTATGATCTTCCTTATTCATTGTCCAACATTCACATACATATTGTTGTTGTTGTTGTCAGGTGCCATCGAGTCGGAACCAACTCATAGTGACCCCATGCACAGCAGAACAAAACAATGTCCAATCCTGGGCCAACCTCACT